CAGATTTTCTTCTCCTTAGGTCTTGCCTTTGGCGGTTTAATCGCGTTTAGTTCTTACAATCCTGCCAACAACAATTGTTATCGCGATGCAATTTTGGTTTCTCTCACTAATTGCGGCACTTCTATGTTTGCTGGAGTTGTCGTTTTTTCCGTGATCGGCTTCAAGGCCACATCCACATTCGATCGTTGCAACGAAGAACGACAAAATCTAATTGCGCAAAATAAAACGACGAATTTGCCAATTTGTGATCTCGAAAAAGAGTTGGCGAATGTGAGTGCGAAAACATTAAGCTGTTTTAATTAAAAAATTTATTCTTAAAATGTCCATAATTTTCTTGACTACAGAGCGCTTCGGGTACCGGATTGGCATTTATTATATTTACTGAAGCCATCAATCAATTTCCTGGCGCACAGATATGGGCAGTGCTCTTCTTTCTTATGCTCTTCACACTCGGCATTGACTCACAGTTCGGTACACTGGAAGGCGTTGTAACCTCGCTGGTCGATATGAAATTGTTTCCAAATCTACCAAAAGAATGGATTGTGGGTGTGAGTAATGGGGGAGATACATATGCTATTTTTTCACAAATTAGTATATAATATATACATATTTATTTATATTGTTCTTATTTCATAATTTTAGGGCCTCTGCTGTTCCTGTTGTTTGATCTCGATGTGTTTTGCTAATGGCGCTGGCAGCTACATATTTCAATTGATGGACAGTTTCGCTGGCAACTTTCCACTTCTGATCATTGCACTTTGCGAATGCCTTTCGATCAGTTATATATACGGTGTCAGAAGGTATGTATGTACTCACATACCTAAATATGTGATATACTTTATGAAGGCTTTTGTGTGCTACATGTCTCGTCCTTTTTTTACTCCCTTATCGCTCTTTTATTTACTGATTCTCACGCAGATTTTCCGATGACATTGAAATGATGACCGGTTCTCGGCCTGGCTTATATTGGATGTTTTGCTGGAAATATCTCTCTCCTTGCGCTATGATTACCATCTTGCTAGCGTCTTTCTATCAGTTACTTACCGAGGGCAGCAGTTACCCAGCTTGGATAGCGGCTAAAGGGCTCACCGAACAACTCGAATGGCCACACTGGTGTATTGTCATCGCATTTTTCCTGATACTCTCGTCAATATTATGGATACCAATCGTAGCGATATTAAGGTATGCTCAAGATTTGTATAGTTGCACATATTTGAAGTGGAGTTTCTTTGTGCGTAAATGCAAACATCGTTGTAACGAAAAAGCGACAAGTTCATTAGGCGCTAATTTCAAATTTTAATGAAACTAAACAGCTACAGATGAAGGTTTGAGAAAACGGGCGTGGTTAGGTTCGATTAAGAATATTTTTAAGGTAAAGATTAAGTTCAACAATTTTATTGAGGTTGAGGCCGTTTTTGATGAAACATATTGTGGAGAAACAACAATAACGGCCTCAAGCTCAATACAATTATTGAATATAATTGCTATAAGGCCACAAACAACAAAAACAGATAAAAATTAAAATTGAGATTTAGATTAAGATTGGGATAAAGATAAAGACAAAGATAAAAATAAAGACAAAGATAGAGATGCAGATAGAGATAAAAATGAAGTTAAGATAAAGATAAAAATAAAGATAAAGATAAAAATACAAATTGGGATTAAGATTAAGACTGAAATCAAGATAAAATAAAGGTTAAGACTTAAATTAAGATTAAGATCAAGATTGAGTTTGGGGTTGAGATGAAGATGAAGATTATGATTGGGATTGAGATTATGAAAAAAAATTGAGATTAAGATCAACATACATGTTCATTATTATGCGGAAAAATACTCTTATAATACGGTGAGCTATACGGACAATAGAAAGAAGAAGTTTCCCTTCAGTCGCGTATGGGATCCACACATATTTTTTCTTTTACGGGTATGTATAAACAGTGTAAATCCTAGTTTCAAACTTTTTGCAATATTAAAAAAAAATTCAACCAACTTTCGTAAAAGTTTCGAGCTTTTTAATAACATTTCTTAGACAAATTTTTAATCAGCAGCCCATGCAATTCTAGTATAATAAAGTGAAAGTTAAAATTACCGTTGATTATTTAGTCGCATTTACTTCCATATAAGGAATAAGCACATTTTTTTTTATATTAAAAAAAACCCGTAACTTCTTCTACAAAAAAAAATCTAAAAAAAAAACAACAGTAATTTTAAGCCATTTGAAACTTGCACCTTATTATATTAGTATGGAATTGCCTACAAAACTGCATACCAAAAATTTGTCCAAGAACTCTATTTGAAAAGTTTGAAATTTTTACGAAAGTTTGTGGAATTTTTTTAATAATGAACAAAGTTTGAAACTTGGATTTACACGGTTTTTGTTAAAGAATTCCCTATATTTATTATAAGAAAAAAACTGTGAAAACATGTCAATATGTGGTGCGACTGCAACTTTTTCGACCCCTGTACTATATTTTAACACCTAATATAAATTATTTTCTTTCGCAGGCTTTGTGGCATAAAAGTGGTAGAAGATTCCGATCCCGCTTGGTTTCCAGAAGCAGAACTGAAAGAGGTTCACGGCATTGTACCGCATGAGCCGACAGAAATCGAACGTTCGATATTCTGTTACAATATGGACGGTACAGAGGGCATGTGTTGTCCGAAATATGGCTTGCCAGAAAAATCGCTCGAAGAAGAGGAGTAAATAAATACAGAAACAAAAGGGGGAAAACTAGAAATTACTAAACATGCTAAAAAAAAAGAAAATACAACAAAAGAAAGTGCTGAAAAGTGAATTTCTTTCAAAGTACGCACTGAAAATTATAAGAAACCGTCGAAGAAAACAAAACAGAGTGAAACAAAACTTAAAAAATAAACACGAAAAGAAAAAAAATATATATTAAACATACATACATAATAATACCTATAAATAATTTAACGAAAACTGTTAAGAAGCGAACAGCAGACTACTTCAGCAAAAAAAAATGCATATTTGGTGTTCCGGTGGTCAAAGTGGTTTGGAGACTCAACTATACAATAATATGTTAAGTACTAAAATATATTATATACATACAAATACATATATGCCTACATATATATACCTAAATATAATGAGTAAGCTAAACCTGCAGCACTACTTCTAAAGACAATAATTTAAATGACAAAAAACATGAGTTCATAAGTTTAAAAAACCAAATTCCACTTGTAAGTAAACGTACATCAAAGGAAATCAAAAGACAATAATAATGTTCCGTAAAGAAACGGCAATCTCATTAAACACTTGTCGCATAAAAGGAAATCGCCAAAGTTAATGAAAAAAACTCTAAAATTAGCCACCGATTATAACTCTGTATGTGCGCATTTAGTTATAAGAAAAAAAAAACGCTGATATTCTATACTGGGTTTTAGGTTTTAAATAAATGTTTATGACTTTTTATTTCATGATAAATATCGAATATGTTTTTTTTTTAAACATGTTTTAAAAACATGGATTCGCACCCAATTTCATTCAAACTGAGCTATCGTTTTTAATTAGTTATTAATTATTTAATTTGTGAAACAATTTTAGAATTTTTGCTTGGGGCCTCAACCAAATAATGCCCACACCGAAGTATGCTAGTCGAATCCGATAAGGATTTTGCACCATATAATCAACATCTCATTACAGTGGGTTAAAGTTTACACATTTTTGACATTTATTTTATGTATACATTTACTTAAAATTTAACTATTTTCTTAGGAGTGCAAAACCCTGAAAAAATACATTCTCTTTCGAATATTTTAAACGCTTCCCTATCGCAAACTTCAAAGTGTCTACTTTCGAAGTTACGGAAGTTAGAATTGGGAGTGGTAGAAAGGCGACGAAAGGTACTTTTACTTTTGCGTTTTTCTCGAAACGACTTTTTCCAAACTGATGTACACAAAATCTTAAGATCTACTGCACTGATTTGTGCTACAATTTCTTTATAACATCGTTTATGGCGCTACTTTGGGATTTTTAGATTAGGGTTGTAAATAACAATCGATGTCTCGAAAAATTACATCGCTGGTAGTTCGATGTATCGCATTAAAACATCGATGTTTTTACCGATGGTTTTAGTAAAGCTTGCTGATTTTTTGAAATATTGCACACAATTTTCAATTAGACTTATATAGTATTTGTTAAAGAATGAACTAAATTTTTATAAAAAAATAACAAAAATTAAATACGAAAACAATTTATTGTTAAAAATAGTCAACATGTGGTGGGTTTTTATATTGAAACAAGGTGTAGTTTAGTACTGCATACGAGTTGTTTTTGCGGCCCGCCAGGCTTTCATTCGACGGCGAGTTTGTCGGCGAGTCGATACGAAGTTATTTGGCAAATTGGGTTGATGACGCTAAGCAATTTTACAATTTCACTACTTTTAAAGCAATTAAACTTTTTCTTACTTATTATTTGTTTATTGAAATTTACGAATTTATTAAAGGAACTTACTTGGACATGATTCCATGAAAGTACTCATTTATCAAACGCTCGCTCAAAATTTTAAAGCGCACATAAAATGAAATGGTTAACAATTAGTAAAGAAACACCTTCGATGTTTTTCATTTCGTTGATTCTCTATCTCTCTATTAACGGCAGGTTTGATATATTTCTACGTACTTCTACGGTACGCTGCGTACACATGCGTGGGTAACTGCCCTCTTAAACTATACATACCTACTTACATTAAAATACCACCACACAAATTAAGAAAAAAGCCTATAGCTCACTAACAATCAGTCGACTGATTTTTTCATCCTGGTTGACCCCCTATAAAATTTTCGGCATCATACTTTTGCAGAGCCTTTTAACCCTCTAACTGCCATTTTGAATAAGCTATGTCCTACAAGGGCACAAAATATCAATAATAGTAGCGGTTAAAGGATAAATTTCACTACATATAGGTTTCTGAAGACATAAATTCGATTTATAAATTACTTTTTAATTTACACCACCATTGCCGATATTTATATGAAGATAAACAGCGCACTGAGATTTAGTCATACAGTTGGAAGCTTCGGGTCCCCTTTGTAAAATGTCTTGCTAACAAATTTTGTAGAACATTTTAACCCTCAATCTGTAAATTTTCTTCAAAATAAGGCCAAAAATAATCACTATGGTTTGAGTTAAAGGGTTAAAATTTTCTGCGAAAACAAATTTTACTATGGATCACTTAACTATTTCACATGAAATATTCCATATCGGCCGCTGTGGTGTAGTGGTAAGCAGTGCGCGCTTTCACTCATCAGCACCTGGGTTCAAGCCCTGGTCAAAGCAACATCGCAAAAATATGGAAAAATGTTTTTTCTTAACAGCGGTCGTCCCTCGGCAGGCAATGGCAAACCTCCGAGTGTATTTCTGCCATGAAAAACAGCTTCTCCTAAATATACAATCGCCGTTCGGAGTCGGCGTAAAACGGTAGGTCCCTCCGCTTTGTGTGACAACATCAAGGCGCACACCACAAGTCGGAGGAGAAGCTCGGCCAAACACTAACATATGTGTAAGCGCCAAGCTATTATTATTATTATTATTATTCCATATCAAATATTAGAACATTGTTAATGTTTTAATTGAACCAGCCCAATTTTTTTTTAGAAATTATTCAAGGTATACATATGTATAGCATAGGTATATACATATGTACATATATATATATGTAGGTTTCATGACATTTTGATTTAACCCTTAACTGGCATCGCAAACTAGACATGCGTAAGAAACAAACATTCTATGGGGGTCGCTCGGTCGCCACGATACCAGTTAAGTATTAAATAACAAATTTACACAGTAGGCAAACAAACCGTGGTCAAAACATTTTCGAAAACCTTCAACTCCGCAGTTTGCATGCATTGCATAAATACATATGTACATAAATACATATACATACATACTTGATTATGGAAATACATACATATATAAATGTTGCATTTGCAGACCAATTTTGTTTTCTTTATTTGTCTTATTGTCTTTCATGAAAAAAAAATACCGGAACGCTTAAATTATCACAACAGACATGTGCGCATATTTCAATAATAAATATGAAACCACTGGAAATGACATATCCTATTTCATTCTACCTGCTTTAGTAAGTACATACATACATATGTACATATAGAGGCATATTTCCATATTTAAAAATTGACTCGGCATAAATATGTATGTACATATTTACACATAATTATAGGTCGTTATAAATGCATATCATCGCTTTTGCTGCTGCATAACTAAGTAAATAAATATCAATCAAATTTTGAAATTTGACAATTTTTGATAATTTTTTATTTTCATTTTGGAATTCCTGGCTGTTCTTTGAACTTGTCATATTTTTAGATGTAATGTAAGTAGTACTTAGTAAAGGATTTAAACATTTACGTGAATAAATATATGGCATATTCATACTCACATACATACATATGTATGTACATACAGTGGCAGTCAAAAATGGATGAATGGTGTTACGTTTTTAATATTTGCAATGTAAAAAAAACCGCAAAAGCCGCCAGCAAAAAAAAATATATATATATATATTAAAAATAAATGCGATTTTTTAGCCGTTCAAAACTTGCACTTATTTTACTAAAATTGGATGGATTTTAAATTTTTGCAGCATAGTTTCAGTCGTAGTTCTTTTGATAAATAGTCAATCTTGACAAATTGTCAAATGCACAGAATTCGGGGGTTAATTTCTGTTGGATCATTCTTTTATGTCTCCACGCATATATACGATGGCGGGCAAACAAATAAGGACGCGACATTTTAACAAGTTTTTGTTATTTTTATTTTGTCAATTAAATTTTTACTATTTTTTTTTAACTATTACACAAAAACCACGTATATAAGGCAAAATCTCAAACTTTCTACGAGATTTCCCGCGCGCTTTTTCATGGACCTTTTTTATTGAAACTTTTTTTATATTCAACAATTTTATTATTTTATTTTATTTTTATTTATTGAAAATTGTTGTGGAAAAATAAGAATAATTTACAGTATTTATATAAAAACTAATTATAAAACAATAAATATATAATCAAGGCTAAATAAATAGCGGCAGAATAGTTTCAGTTTTCCACATCCTGAAATCGCGGGATTACAGCTCCGGGATCCCGAGATTTTCACTGATTTAATTATATAATTAGGCAGGTTCTAGAATCCGAGTGAAAGTAGAATTAAAAACGAAAAAATGAAATCAAGTGAATTTGACATGAAAAACGAGAAATAAAGAATACCAAAAGTCGGATTCAGATTTTCTAAAATACTATCTAAAGGAATAAAATAGCCCGAATATATTTCCAACCCTAACCAACAAAATGATATATATCGTCACCAGACACGAATAAAAAAGGGCGAGTGTTTTGACTGCGAAAAAAATTTACGAAAAACTTCGGCAAAGAAAGAAATAGATTCATATCTGACAAGTAAAAACACTATCAGCTGATCGCTAAAAATGCCTAAAATTTCTTCCATTTCTATTACGATTTCATCTATGTAAATACACCAATACAAGGAATCAAAAACACACCCTGTGGGGAAAATCTCTAGTTCTGAACTGGTGCGCTTCTAGTACATTTAGACCCAGTACTGGTTCGCGATAAATCTCTTTTGCATGCAAGCAACTGGCGAATTTAACATGGCGATGTCCTAGGAAGTGTCAATTGGCCCCCGCTGCATCCCTTTTTCGATAGTTCCGAACTAGTCCTAAATTCGATAGTTCCGAAGCACAGAATAGAAGCGTATTTCAACGAAAAAGCCGTCGAACACATAACTATGTAAAGTAAACAAACCCCCCGCTGCATCCCTTATTCGATAGTTCCGAACTAGTTCTAAATTCGACAAATAAGATCTAGTTCGTTCTGAATCCCTTTTTCTATAGTTCCGAACCATTTCTAAATTCGTCACTTTAGATATAGATGTCTAGTGAAAAAAAAAACTGAAAAAAATTAGTTTTTTAAAAGTACCACTCTTCGCCGATTTTGGACTGGTGGGAATCTAGTTCCTATCGGACTAGTTCCTTTTTGGCGATAAAGACCTAGTACGGAACTAGAAATTTGATTCACTAGTCCGCGGTTTCCCTGCAGGGCACTTACAGCCTGCCAGAAAAATGGTAAGAGGAAGAGTTACGTTACTTATAGAATTATATGATGGTAGACAGTTGTATGTAGTCTATGGGAGGAAGTAGGAAACCGTAACGGAGTTAGATTGTGATGGCTTGCAGGTCATGAGGGATTTGATGGCAGTGAAAGGGCTGACATTCTCGCGAAGTGCGGAGCTTAACGTGACCGGCATGATTCTTAGCCTTTCTCGATCGGCAGCCATTGAAATATTTTCCCGCCGGAGCCGGCATCAAACTGAAGATCACTCCACAAATTTGAATAGATGCAAACCTTTGTTTTTGTAAACGAAAACCAAAAAAAAATATTCAGATAGCCAAACTGAAAAGTCCGAAGTCCATAGTCCATAGTGTCCACTGCATAGAAAAAAAGTAAAAGCTAGAGGATAAGCTCTGTTTTGCAATTTTTTTAAGTACGAAACTTGAAAAAAAACTATATTTTTTAATAGAACTGTAAGTCATATACATACTTTCCAGATAAGCAGATATGTATACACATCTACATAACTACATATAGTACATATACGAGTAAAAATCTAATTCTTGTGATCGCACATCAGAGTAGTACATATAGAAAACCAAACTACATATTCGCAATGAATCGGTGAATGAACTTATGACAATAAATAGACTTCATACGTACATACAACACGTTAAACTTTGAATGTTAAATCGCAATTCGTATTTGTTACATTTTTGCCAAAAATAGTAATAGTATGAATATACATATATACCCTACCTAGATCAACCTAATTAATTAAATTGTTCAACTTATGCCATTAATTCGGAAGTTAAGTACTCATGCTGTGTGTTCGATTACTATTTTAATAGCCTGTATGTTTGCATTTTACATTTACATACACCTTTATTATGTACATCCACATATTCTCGATGTTCGTGAAAAAAAAAACGCTGAAAATGTTTGCAATATATTTAATACAAAGAGGTCTCATCAAACCACTACAAATGTATTTATATAAGTAAATTAAAAGACAAAAAAAAAATATGTTTAAGTATGATAAAAAAGCAAGAAAAGTAAAAACTAAATAAATAATAGAAAATATACACTATATATGAGATAACGTAATTATATTTATGAAGAATGCCCATTTAAATATGTATTATTAATTGTTATTGATGTTCATATAAAAATTTACTCCTTCACATACCCAAACACGCATACACACTATCGTTCTTACATATGTATGTACATACAAATGTGAATTAGTATGTAGTTTTAATCAGTTTATAATACGTTAAAGTGTTAATTGCTTTTAAATATAAAGTAAATGTATTCAATTGTTAGTATTTTAATTAGCAACATAATAGGTATACATACATACACATACGCTTGTACTACGAATCTTTCATTAACAAAATATTGTTAACTGTTGTGTTGTAAATGCTTACAATTAGTTGAAATTTTTAGTTGTTGAAATCTACAAATTTATTCTAATCCCCTGTATTTATGTATATACAACATACATATGCAGTAGATACACTTACAAACAAACATATATATATATATACATACGTAATTACATAACTACATATAATAAAAGCAATTGCAAACAAAACTAAAATGTATTTATTAAATATATATAAGTAAAGAAGAATAAAATAATAGTATTAAATACTTACATACACAATATGTACTGATGACAATAAAAAAAATAACAACATTATTGAATTAATTAATAAAGATAAGTATGTAATTAATAAACTAGCTGTGGTTTTTTGTTAATGCGAGAAAATACGTAGAATTCTCGGTGAAGAGCAGTGTTACCATTTTGGTGCTTTTTGAGCTAGATTTAGCCTTTTATTTTTCTATTTAGCTCTGAAAATTTGGCTTTGGTTCCTAGCTCTTTTTTCAGTTCTTTTCAAATTATCTGATTGACTATTTTCACAGATTTCGTTAAACCAATGAACTTTGTTTATGTATTATAGACATTTCTGTTGCAGAGCCGGTTGCCTCTCTTTACTGAATTCGGGGGATTATCGAACTTTCGTTAGTTGCAGATAGTATTTTTTTTTTTAATTTGGCCATGACATCTCCGGGATATTTTTGTCCACTATAAGCGGAGTCCGTTATAACCGAGTCTATCTTCACCGAGTTTTTTTTTCATATATTTGAACTGGGACTTGACAAATAGGTACATAATAACAGAGTTTCCATCTTAAGCGAGGCCATTATAAATGGATTACACTATATTTGGCTTTGGTTATATGGCAACTCAGGCTGACAGGTAAGTCAATTAGTTTATGCTTTAAAATTAATTTTAGTGGCAATTATGTTCTTAAATAAATATTTAAAGAATCAATTTACCAAACCTTTTAGCAACGTGCGCGTGAGCTCACAACCTTTACGGGACAGTCATTCGAGCCCGAGTAGTTCAGATGACGTATGCTCTGCCCAGCGGGCAAGGTAAATTTAAACTAATGCGGATAATATTGTGTTATTAATAATTTGGACCTGAACTGAATTTAAATAAAAATTTCGATTACTACAAATGTGTTTATCTATTCTGAGGCTAAAAGTTTCCTGCATTATTTTACTACAAAAATTTAAATAATCGGTGGATATCTAGCATTTGAAAATAAAAAAATCACTTATTATTTTGCAAAAAATTCGTTGTTGGCGTATATTGAAAAATTCACCAAAAATCAGGATTTTACCTTTGTTTATACATTTAAAATTAGGAAAAACTTCAAAAAAAATGTTTAAGAAAAAATTCTATACGCACGGTATTTACTCAACGTTCAAAAGTGATAAAAAATTGGCTAAAAATCCGTACTTCAGCACCCTCTCCGGCGAAAATGTTTTGAGAGCAAATATTAAGTTGTCCGGACACGAACGGTGAACGCGCCTCTAGAGTCTTCAGGGCTCGAATCAAGGCATCCGTGATCGAATCAAATTTTATACAAAATTTCTTTTTAGCATTCGGTAGTGACTTCGCTTTTTCAATTCAAATTATATTGGAGAAACAACAACTGTCATTTTATTTTATTCGCTTCGAATCGAGTTTCATTCGATCACGGATGCCGCGATTCGGGCCCAGTTTTAGGTAAAGGGATTTTTGTTAAATACTTTATCCACGTGAAATACATTTTTTTTTTGTTGTTTTCTATAAAAATACAAGGCGAAATCATACAAGGTGATAGCAGGAGTACAAAAAGAAAAATTACTCTAACAAATTTTACGCACAATGCCAGTAAGAATTACAAAAAATACATCAATTTGACATTGAGAACCACCCAGGTGAAAGTCCAGCTGCTCTGGTAACACCATCTTTTATGAATTCGCCATGTTTTATTCTAAAAATATGAGTAAAAACTATTAAATATTGTTTCTTTTGAAAAATCTACCAACTTCAACCATTTTTTGAATGTAAAATCTACAACTATTAATTTTTTCGAAGTCCGTGCACTGACTACAACGTTTGTCGGTTTGGGTCGAAACCAGAAAACTTCGCTAATTGCCGGAAGACCGGAAGCAGTTAGGTCCTTCTGCACTTGGTCCTTCCATTATTTTCATGGGCACCCTTGCTTACGTTGTCCGGCCATGGGTGCGGAGTGGAAGGATCTTTTCACCGGAGCGTCGTAATACTTGCGTACAGCATGGCAATCCCAGCGCAATCGTTGTATTTTTATGTTTTTAACTATGTCCATGTCCTTAAAAAGCTCTTACAACTCGTCATTCCATCTACTTTGGTACACATCGGCCACGCGAACAGTGCCATAGATCTTGCGCATAATACTTCTCTCGAAAGCCTCCAATGCCTTCTCATTTTTGTTTGACGTCGTCCATCTTTCTGCGCCATATAGGAGGTCGGGTATGATGAGAGACTTGTAGAGCGTGATTTTTGTACGTGGAGAGAGGGCTCTGCTTTTCAATTGCCTACTGAGACCAAAGTTGCACCTGTTGGTAAGACTAATTCTCCCCCTGATTTCCAGGCTGAGGTGGTATTTATGCTTGATCCTAGGTAGACAAAGTCCTTGACTACTTCAAAGTTTGCCTTGTTCTTGTTCAACGATGGACCGACCTCTTTAGATTCCTTTTCTAAGCTGGAAAATGCTGGGCTTACGTCCTCAATTTCCAGGCCGACGACATCGATATCATCTGCACATGCCAGCAGCATCGTTCTTCTGCTTTATGTATATGGTGCCGCTGCGACTCAGATAGGCAGCTCCTTTAACGCTTTCCAGCATCAGAACAAAAAAGTCGCAAGATCGTGAATCGCCATGGCTAAAACCTCGTTTGGTCTCAAACGGAGCGGAGAGGTCCTTCCCAATATGAATGAAGCAGAAGGTTATGCTCAGCGTCACTCCACATAGCCGTATCAGTTTTGCGGGGATCCCAAATTTAGACATGGCGTCATATAGGCTGCTTTTCTCCGCGCTATCAAAAGCAGCTTTGACGCGCTGTGAAGATCTGGTCAATAGTGGACTTGCCTGGTCTGCCTGGTCTAATCTACCGTTTGAGTCCCTGTGGGGGAGTGAAAGCCGTAATGTCCTCTAGTCCGCTTGTATTTAATTTTTATATCTCGAAGATTCCCCCGAGTTTCCATTATCTCATACGCTGACAATTGCTCGATACTGACGGCAATGGAATTGATGACCTTTCTTTAAAAGAAAATGGTTGTCTCCAGGCATCTGGAAGCAGAAGCTCTCCCCAAGCACTTAGGAGTGTACCTCTATGAACTGAAGGACGAGGTCCAGAGCTACATATGTTAACCATTGGATCCTAAAACATATAGACTACCAACCAACGCCATACACCCGAAGACCATCACCACTTCACTAACTCCCGTCTCGCGAATCCCATCACTGGAGTTCAATCTCCAGAAATTGCAGAGGAAGAGCTTCAGCTGCGAATAGAGATTCGCCATATTTTGGCACAATTACGGTCAAGATACTGTAGGAGGTTAAACTCCTACCTATCCAGACTAGACCCCAACGTACATACATACCTTACGTATGTTCGGCATACGACACCAATCATTTATTCACATACACACTCAACTCAACTCAACTAACATGCATATCGCTTTTGTCGAAACAGCGATTTTCCTGCGCCTAAAGTTAGTTGAGCTTATGTAAATGGTTGAAAGATTATCCAATTCTAGGCAGGATTAAGTAAGCCGCTACAACAGCAAAAATGTACAGATCTTCAAGCGCTCTTCCCACTCTTTCCTATTAAAAATTTTAAAAAAATTTTATATCTTCTTCTTCTTTTTCTCCTTTATTGGCGCTGTAACCGCCTAAGCTATTTTCGCCAAGTCCAAAACAGCACGGCAGTCATTTCTCTTCTGTGCCAACTGACACCAATTGGAAATTAAAAGTGAAGCCAAGTCCTTCTCCACCTGGCCTTTCCCACGCAGAGGATGCCTTTCCGCTTTTACCAGCATCACGGCCCGCATTAAATACTTTCAGAGCAGGAGCGTTTCAGTCCATTCGAACGACATGGTCAAGCCAGCGGAGCCGCTGAATTTTAATTCGATGCACTATGTTGTATATCGATGTATCTACTAAAAAAACTTCTTTATTAAATAAAAGATTCATTTTAAGCATCTTCATTAGATGTTTTTGTAACTTTTTTATTTCGTTTTAAGACATTGGTTTTAATTAAAGTTTGATCCATGTATAATAAAAACATGCTTAGGACTTCACATCTCCAGTGATGGTACCCAAGTCCTTCGCCTTTTCTTTCTTTCTGATTGCCTCCCTTCGCTTCTTATGCTTATTGGATTTTAAATGCAGCTGCCATTGGAATTCGCCTATGAAGTGTCGTTGGCAGGGTTTACAATAGTTGCTGATCTAAAATTATTAAGTTCAATATTAAACATTAGGAAGTATTTATTTGGAATTAAAATAAACCAATAAGCACTAAAGTAGAGTCAAGCCGTAAAAGTGGTATCACCATGATTTGTTTATTTTTTACCATCGTCTTAACTTACCTCCTCATTGAGTCCCGCACCCGGATGCTGTCGTCGCGTCATTGGTTGTATCTCACAAACCACCCCACTTCGATAGCTTTCGATCACCGTCACAGCACGCGCATACACTTCAGCTTGCCAGAGCTTTACATCACTCGTATCGAGCTCATACAAATCTGGTACTTGACGATCCTTACTGCCCAAAAACCGATTATTAATCCACTTAATTTGCTTCTTAGAGTAGCGTCGTGTGACCAACTTCAATTCATTCAAACATGAGTTTAGCACATCCAGACCAGCAGGTAAAGCTGGACTTCTATTTGTAGGTACAGTGGTATTTGATCCCAATTCTAATTCAACTACTCTGTCGAGTTCATGCTGTGCTTGGCTTGAAGTTGCTGATTCGTTTTCTTTTTGTTTTTGTGACTCTGTAACCCGTGTTACGTTTATTGAACTCGGCTTTTGTGCTTTGAAGTGCTCTGTATGCGTATATTATAAATATGCAGATATGCGAATGAGTCATTGTAAAATCGAAAGCCAGTCATCCAAAAGTAGTTAAGTATACATATGTTAAAAAAAAATTAAATATTAAAGAAATAAAAGGTTATGATTCTTTATCTGTGTTAGTATTTAAATCTGTGGGAAAATTATGCGCTGTTTTTTTTTTATTTAAAATTATGTGTGTATTGATAAGATAGATCAATAGTGTTGGTACACAGATAAAATATGGAGTTAGTTCCAATCTGAAGAGTTTATTTTAAATTGTATGAACCTCACTAAATAACTGAACAAACCGATCGGAGAAAAAACTGAAACTTTG